ACCATTGATACTTGTAGTGCTGTATGATTTCTCTGTTCCCTTCCCATCACCATTGATACTGTTGGTGTAGTGTGATTTCTCTACTTCCTCCCTGTCACCAAAGATACTTGTAGGTCTGAAGCAGATTAACTTGTATTTGTCTTCTGTGTTACCAATCACTGTGATCCGAGAGGTTTGGAGAGAATCCAACATGTATCGACTTGTATTTCCGATACCTACCAATCCTGCACTGATCCTGTCCCGACTGTCTGCTTCCATCCTTTTTCATGTTATCTTTGTCACGGAACTTACCAAGTCTGTAGAGTTAAGTACATAATAACTCTCTACTAACAAAATACATACAGTTGTGTAGGAACTACTTTCAAGTAAACTTGAATTTCATAATTTCAAAACTAATTTAATGGATGACTTGTGCAGTACATAAGAGGGAAACAGCTAACACTTCAGCTTACATAAGTTGTATTATAATGTCTTGAAATGATTTCAAAATTTGTCTGTCACACAAATTCTTGTATTAACTTTATAGATGTTGTATGAATAGGTAGTTTCTTTATATAGTATTAACAAATGTTACTAACCCTTTTTATGTTTAGTTTTCTTATTTTAACTCTAGTCATTTGAAACACTGTTATTTATATTTTCAATTGAACTTCTCAATATATAAATACCATTTCGGTAAGCATTTTAATGTGCAGACTGTCAATGCTTTTCACAAAAGTTCATGCACCTGAGCAATACATGTGTACTGCAGAATCTGTATCTGATTCACAGTAATCAATATCAGTTACCTGGTTCTTTAGAATTCTGTTTAGCAATTCATTTGATTTTATTCTATAGAACTTGAAATTGAAATGTTAGTTTGAATTAGTTGAGAGCAATCTAATGAATGAAAAAGATTTCTATTAGTATAAAAATGATTAGACATGTATGAAAAATGGTACTTTAAATTTCCTTCCCCTATTACACAATAGATAAATTAATCTCCTCAATTTATTTTCAATAGTATTTGATAAAAGGAAAAAAATGAGATTTAAGAAAACCATTAGGTCAATTGTTGTAAGTATTTTAATCAACAGCAGAATGTTTTGTCAGTATGATGATTATCACTGAAGTCAAACTTCTGAGCGTTCGTCCAAATTAGAATCCTTACAATTACTGCCAGTCAATTTTGTTGACATTATTTTGAGAGTGTTTTTTAACTCCCCGATGAACATGTGACGACGACGTTGATATTAGACTGTAGTTGGTAACCTTCTCTGACCTTTCTTGTGTTCCGTTGCCAGGGGTGATGAAGACAAACGGTAGCTGTTAATGGAAATCCACCACCTGATCCACATAGATTTCAATTCTTTTCTGAATTAGATTTGTTTTTAAGTGATTTGTAAGTTGTAAAAGTAACATGGGCACTTTGAATGCAGTTGATTTGAACTTCACTGCAGCATCAGATTCCAGATTTATATTGACGGAATTTAACTTCGTGTCTGTAATTCCTTCCAATTACAGGTAATTTGTTACTGTTTTTAACTACACAGATTCATTGTTAAGCCCATGGTAAGATCATTACACAGAGGTATTATTACAGGTCACACTTTCTCTCCTCTTCAATTAGTATTGTCAGAGATTGAAACTCAAAAACCTTGAACTTTGCTAGAGGATTTCTGACTAAGAGAAATCAATTGTGATCTTGTTTTAAGGACCAGTGCTTTATGATGACTCAATCTGTACCTGTATTTGTTTTATGGAAAGGAGTGGATTTCTGTATTTGTGGTATTGGAAGGGTGTATTCTGTATTCATGTTATGGGTAGGGGGGATTCTGTATTTGTGGTATTGGAAGGGTGTATTCTGTATTCGTGTTATGGGTAGGAGGGGATTTCTGTATTTGTGTTATTGTAAGGGTGTATTCTGTATTCATGTTATGGGTAGGAGGGGATTTCTGTATTTGTGGTATTGGAAGGGTGTATTCTGTATTCATGTTATGGGTAGGAGGGGATTTCTGTATTTGTGTTATTGTAAGGGTGTATTCTGTATTCATGTTATGGGTAGGAGTGGATTTCTGTATTTGTGTTATTGGAAGGGTGTATTCTGTATTCGTGTTATGGGTAGGAGGGGATTTCTGTATCTGTGGTATTGGAAGGGGGGATTCTGTATTCATGTTATGGGTAGGGAGGATTTCTGTATTTGTGGTATTGGAAGGGGGGATTCTGTATTTGTGTTACAGGTAGGGGGGATTCTGTATTCATGTTATGGGTAGGAGGGGATTTCTGTATTTGTGGTATTGGAAGGGGGGATTCTGTATTCATGTTATGGGTAGGAGGGGATTTCTGTATTCGTGTTATGGGTAGGAGGGGATTTCTGTATTTGTGGTATTGGAAGGGGGGATTCTGTATTCATGTTATGGGTAGGAAGGGATTTCTGTATTCATGTTATGGGTAGGAGGGGATTTCTGTATTCGTGTTATGGGTAGGAAGGGATTTCTGTATTCGTGTTATGGGTAGGAGGGGATTTCTGTATTTGTTATATTTGTAAGTTATGGGAAGGGTGAACTTTTGTTTGTGGTGTGGAAGGGTTCAGACTTCTATATTTAAGGTATGAGAAAGTTTTTTTTTTCTCTGTTTATGGCATGGGGAGGAGAAGTATACTATTTGATATGTTTTATAAGAAGAAGGTTATTATAAGGGATGGGTCCAATAGGAAAAAGTAGAGCAAAGTCTTTAAAATCCTACTTAACCTGCAAGAATTATTGGATTTTACTCAAATTTAGTCTGAACAACTTGGCTGCATCAATTTTGTACGAATGGTAGGTCCTGGCCCCCTGGGAACTAAGCGGTAGGGTCCAATTATGAAATAAAGAAAAGGCTTTAAAATCCTACTCCTCCTGCAAGAATGATTGAATTTTGCTTAAATTTGGTTTGAACATTCTTGGGTAAAGGGGAATCAATTTTGTATGAATGGTTTGTCTTGGGGCAAGAGGGGTGGGGCCCAAGAGAGGAACTAGACAAAATTCTTTAAAATCATTCTTCTTGTGTAGGAATGCCTGGATTTTGTCTCAGTTTAGTCTTGAAACATGCTTGGGATCATTCTGTGTGATCAGTTGGTTTCATCCCCACGGGATGCAAAAGGTAGGGCCAAATGGTGAAACTAGAGCAAATTCTTTAAACTCCTTCTTGAGTTGGAATTATTCGATTTTGTCTGTATTTTATCTGAAGCATCCTTTGGTGAAGAGAAATTTTCTACAAACAGTGCATCTAACCTCTTGGAGGAAGAGGAGTGGGCCCTAATAGGGGAAATACACAATTGTTTTAAATACTTTTTTTTATTTTAAAATAACCAATTTATCAAACTTAACCAGGTGAGTAATACAGACCCATTGGGCCCCTTGTTTGTTATATAGAATAAAGAGCAGGGTTTCTGTATTTGTGTTTTTGGAAGATGAGAGTTTCTGTATTTGTGTTTTGGGAAGAACAGAATTTTTGTATTTGTAGTATGTTGAGAGCGCTTTCTGAATTTGTGGTATAGAAAGAGGTGGTTATCAGTAATTTGTATTTCGGGGTGTAAGAATTTTAGTATTTGGGATTATGGAAAAGATGGATCTCTATATTTGTCTTATGGAAAGGAAAGATTTCTGTATTTTACATAATGGGGAGGTAGAATAAGCAAAGTTATATAAATACATTGTCTTACAGCCCTTCTCATCATATTCTTATACCAGACAATGATATTAAGGTTTGCTCTTCTTTATGGGACTCCAACATTTAGATACTACCATTAAAGAAATGTCAAAGGCAAAATTCCATGTAGGTGGCAGCATTAGGTTGACTGGTACCCTCTTCTCCTGTCTGGTAAATATCTGTAAAATCTCCATACAAAATCTGATTAAAACACTATCAACGCAGCATTGCTGGTTTTGGTAATAGTACAATTATGGTTGAATGAAGGGAAGGAAAGCCATCAGTGTTTGAGACCAATGTAAATTAATTATTCTTACGTGTCTGGCAAATATATCTTGTTAGATCAGACCAAAGAAAAAAACCCTGATCAGACCATTTCTGTTCTGGTTCTTTTATAATGGAATTATTTAGAGTCAACTGTTTTGTAGGGCAAACAAGTCATGTAGGACTGGTAAAAACTTGTCTGGTTGTGTTCATCTTGTGGTGACCATTTATGGAAAAGCATTAAGTGTTAGTGTCCATATTGTCAATAATCTACTTCTGATTGTCAAGTATTGGTCTTAGATGATGGAACAATTACAGGCAGCGATGTTGTAGTAGTGATCGGCTAGGGTATAAGATGTATGTATAAGACACAACACAGTTGTCTCATGATTGACAGACAATGTAATTGTTTTCCTGCAATCATCAAATCTAACGAGAGAGTTCTGTTGTGTCGAGACACAAATATTTACTTACAATTGTACTTGTGATAATTTATCATTCTGGTTTGCAAACTGTCTGTATGACAAATGTGATGTAAACTGATAGATCCATATATGAGCTTCCAGTGCAAAGGGCCACCAACAGAGGACACTCTAAAAATGCTTCTGTCCTATATTAAGAGCATATTGTATTTTAATTTTCTCAACAGATTTAGACAAAATGATTAAGAATGTATGTATTACTCAGTGAGAAAGTTAATTTCTCTGATTTGAAGTATGTATCACTTTATCACTGAAGTTATAACTGAGGCACATACACCACTAACATTTTATTTTGTCACGTGTTCTAGTGTTTTAGGTATTGTATGATATAAGGTATGTCACTTAATCAACCTTAATTTTCTAATCATGGTAACTGCCAGAATTAAGTTGACACTAATGCCTTGTCTGTTGGTTGTTGCGTAATCATCAGTATTTTATTTTACTATGTCATGTTCCCCAGCACCATGGTGCAATGTAATTTGTACAGGGGAAATTTTTCTGAAAATTCTCCTGGACATGTCTCAAATTTTACCTGATTGTCTCCCTTGATCAATCTACTTGTCTAATCACCAGCCTTTGTTTCAGGGCCCAGCAATAACTGCCATCAGTATGCATGTCTAAATGAAGGCCGATGTGTACAGCAGTGGAACTCCTTCACATGTGACTGTGATATGACCTCTTACACTGGGTCTATGTGTACAGAAGGTAGGTCAGATAGGTCAAGGTCATACTTAAATTACTTAGATAAAGATCACTGACTGATTTAGAAAGAAGTCCTAATATAGGGTTCAAGACTTTATGTAAGAATAGAGTGAAATCCTTATATAAGATTGAGTTTAAAAATCTGAATCTGAGAGATAATATCACAGACCTTCATGTACTTTAGTAATTAATGGGTCAAGGGGCTAACCTATGGTGTTGGAATTTTTTACTTATAACAGAAAGCGTATCCTATGTCTTTGGTCTGGGATTCCCTGGAATACTTATCTACAACTACCCAGAAAGCAAACGTTCCAACACCAAATACGACCAAATGGCGCTTGGGTTCCGTACCACACAGCGAAACGCCTTGCTGGTGCGCGTGGAGAGCCTCACTAACGAAGACTACATCGAAGTGCAGCTGGTAACACAACCATCTACTGTGCTGTAATATACAGCTGTTGAGATGATTTGGCCACATTTGTAGTCAGTTTCTGTATTTTGAGTGGCCAAACAATTAGTTAGGGGATGATAGTGTTTTCCTGTTAAGACACTCATTGATGTTCACTCAATATGGTGAACTCTGGTTTAGGTATAACATATAATCCAATGATTTACAGTAATGCTTCCAAATAGGAAATTATTTTGAATCTAAGACAACAAGTGAGACTCTGTATTTAGTGTACTAGCTGTGCATGATTGATATAAAAATGTTTAGAAGAAAAGGTGTTATTTTCTCAGACAGGTCCAAGTTATTCTAAATTTTAAGAAATTTCATCACCAGTTACATCACAACATTCTCAGTTTTTTTTTCAATAAAGTGATGATGAAATAAAGCATTATACCCATGTTTAACTGAATCTGAAGCAGCTACAAGTCAAACCCCATATATCAGCCATCTTGTTATGTACTGTAAGATTGAGAAAGTAGAGATTTCCCTAGAAAGCTTTTACAAGTTTCCTTGTAATATGAGGCGACTGATCTTTGCGGCTTTTGTAGGTTGATGGAAATGTATTTGTGGTGTACAACATGGGGACAGATAATCATCCACTTGGACAGTTACTAAGGAAACACAACAACGGAAAGTACCACGTGATCAGATTTATACGATCTGGAGCCAATGCTACCCTACAGATCAACGAAGGGCCTGTTGTCCTCAAAAACCCGACAGGTAAAAAACAAAACATGTGACAGTGAACATTAGGTCTAATTGTATTGGGGGTGATAGAAAACCATTACAAACACTCACAGTAAATACAGAATAAAATATCTTATGAAAATGTTTCTTTTAAAAAAAAACACCTTAAACACCAGAGATCCCCTGAAGAGAACATCCCAAATAATGCCAAAGAAAATTGCTGAAGATTTTAGAATTTGTACATAGTCACTAAGGCTATGGCATGGTAATGATGACATTGTAGATCACATATGGACAGAAGTCTTCTGTGAAAGGAGGCTGATATTTGTCATTATTGTCATAGTAACATACATATTAATAATTACTATTTTTTTCCTCTGCAAACCGGGAATTATGGAGAGAAAGTTTGTGTTGAATGCTGCATACATAGCATCAAAGAATTTGTCAAAAGTTTGTAAACTGAGCTCAAATTTACAGGATGAGATAACATCTAAATCTTGTACATTAATTCACATGTAAATCATAATAACTTGTTAACTTTACTATCAGTATCTCTACAACAATGCTTTGTAGAAATTATACAGATGAACAAAAATAACTTTTATTTGATATCAATTTTGGTGATTTTTGAGCTCAGTATTTTGTTGAAAAAATTGTTCTAGCACATTCTATATTTTTTCATATAGATATTATCATTTGGTGCTTACATTGAGAAATGGTTTCTTTCCTATTATGGATCAGTGATACATAGCTGGAAAATTTTACCATTATATTTTGAGAGTTTTTTGTATCAGTTCTCTTATTAATTAATAACAGAAAAGTGCATGTCTTGAAATTTAAGGCAAAATAATGCAAAAATTCCAAGCAACATTTCTGTGGTTGAGCAGAGCCATATTCCAAGAAAATTCACAGCTAACTGGATACTTTTATTGATCTTGTGCTGGTGTGGAGAGGCAGGAAAGATGCGGGCAGACAGTTTATATCACTATTAAACAATTAAAATTTCTCTCCTCAACAGCTTCACCCCATTGAGACATACCTATCAGATGATTATCTTTAAAGTAAAATTGACTTTCTGCATTCATATGAACAAAACAAATGTCCATCAAATTGATCTTACAAAATTTTCCTACAGATTATTGAACGTTTTGGGGCAAAATATAAATCAGAAAAAAAAATACAATTTAATGCAATATATTTGTACTTACTTTCAGTTTATGTAATAGGTATATATATATATATATATGGAGGTGATTAACATTTTTATGTTAAGTCAGATATACATTGTAGGTAATCACAATGAGATTTGTTTTATAGATTTTATCTTAAAAAAATATATATATTTGTGTGATGGTTTCTCATAACTGAGAAATTAGCTGTTAATGTGGATAAGATATGACTTGGGTTTTGAAACCTGGAATTTTGATATCTTGATCTGTGATGTATTGGATGAGCTAATTGTATATAAACGTGCACAACACAAGATCGAATTAGAATTTAATAGGTTTTGACATTCAGGTATTTAATTTGATATTCATACATAAAATAGGCAGTCAAAGATATGTTCCTTATCCATCATAAAGTTGTGTCAAAGATAGGGGGATATTTTGATCCCATCACATCCTCATTCAGTCATAGAGTCAATTAAATAGGTTGACAGCATCCATATCATGTTATAACCTCCATTATCTGATGATTTCACCTCTCTGTTTGATGTTACCTCAGCCATTTTATTTTCCTCATGTTATCAATCAGAAGGGTATCACAGGTCTGGAGGAATTCAATTTTTACAGCTTTTTTATTTAATGCATTTAAATGAACTTTAAAAAACAGTATAGTGTTAATAGGAGATTTATCTGGAGGTGTCTTGTATATGCAGAATGTAATATGATGAAATTCTATTTGACAACTAGGCTATTGTCAGCACTATAAAAAGGACTTAAAAACTGAAAAAAGAAATGAACAGAATATTTTTGTGTACTTACATGTATTTTCTTTATCTAGTTTGTGCTAAGCAGAGAATATTAAAAAAATTTAAAATATATTGTACAATATATCTATTAATAAATAATATAGACACATTTTTTTTTATATCTTAGTAATGAACAGTTTTTCTGTCACTGATGATTCTGAAGGATACACTGATGGTTTTGAAATATTTTAATTAACTACATGGTGAAAAGTTTCCAGATCTAAAATCTGTGTTTAGAAATATTTGTTATAAACAGTAAGGTTAAGGATTTTTCGTTGTGTTGTTATCATTAGACTTTATTTGTACAGTAATGAGAACGAAAGAAAACTTTTGAACTTTTGTTACTTTTTTCTTAATCAAACACAAGTTGTGTATAAAATGAGACAGACAATTATATACATGTTTTATTAGATTGGACAGATGGACAGATGGTGTATTGAATCAACAGAGAGCTAGATATGGATACAAAGACAGACATACCTGTTAATGATGTGTAACATTAGATGGAGAGTTGAAATGGATGGAGGGACAGATGATGAATCAGTTGGATTGAAATATTCATGATGTGATGGAACGATAAGAAAGGCAGACACACAGACCTACAGACAGACATACAGACAGACAGACAGACAGAGATAGACATACAGACAGATTTTGTAAATATAAATAGATTGACATATATTGATGATGTGTAAGATCAGATGGAGAGATGGTATGTTCAATTAGATAGACTGATGAGATGTATAATGTATATGTGCTAGTCATATCCATTGATAGAGTACTAAATGAAAGCTCCTTAATGTTTAAAGAGTATGATTCAAAGTGAATCCTTGATTGTATTTATTAAACAAAACAAAACAAAAAAGAAGAAATATCTGGTTTATTCCAGTTATCAGATGATGTAATTGTTTTACATTATTTTCATTAAGGACAATAAATTTCTCATGAAACATTTTCATAACAAGATTTAATAAAAATTCCACTGATATTAATGACAGTATAAAAAATCAGGATTCACTTTAATCAGATATATCAGTACACACTCATGATATTGTAAAGAGTTAACTCCCTTGGAAGCAGCCTTACAGGATTTTCATTCATCATAGAAAAAAAAAAGAAAAAAAACAGAAAGTATGAAATTGTCTTAAGAATTCCAATTCACAAAATTAAATCATAAAATAAAGCAATATTTGTGTGAAATTTGGAATATGCTGCCGTTATGATGATTGAATAATGGTTCTAAGAGAGGTAACTCTATTTTGAGTGTGTGTAGACTGACCATGTCTTTTTAATGCATCAGAAACCATGTCACAGCTTTATCCATGGAAGAGTTTTGAAGGTAATCACCATCCTCCCATAAATTGCACCCCAATGGCTAAAGTATTTGGCTTTCATTTTTAAAATCTGCTCAATCATTTCTATTTTAAACAAAATTCTGATTTTTTTAAATCATTGGAGAGGGAGGTAACTCTGATATCCTTACAGCAGCTATGTGGTAGACAATATTTAAAATTTTCGATTTTTAAAGAATATCTACTCTATTACATTTATGTATACCATGTGATTCATCAGGGATATTGAAAGAAAACTGTTGAAATGTTTAATGAACTTATTGATAAAATTATCCTAATGGGCATCACCAAAGAATCTAACCTACCAACTGAAGGAAAAAAGGGATAAGTATTTTTTAAGTATCTTATTTAAAAAATACCAATAAACCAGTATCTTAGTTGGGGAGATGAAAATTTAAACATTTTCAATACATGAATCTGTTGTTGAAGTGTTGCCATTGTTTCTATGGCAACTGGGGTCACATTAGGAGTGTGATTGTGTGTTTCAGGGGAACAGCTGAGTGTGTTCAATGAGCAGGCCAGGATCTTCATTGGAGGTTATAAAAATAGTACTGGCATCCATAGACAATTTGTTGGTACAATACAAGGTAAGGATATGTGTTAAGCAATCAACCTATTACAAAACATTATCTAATCCTAATTTAATTTTCTATTGATAATCATTAAAGGGATATTAAGCAAAAGTTAGAATTTCTTATGATAGTTTACAGAAAAAATTTCAAAAGTATCTATCTATGAATGGCTATAAGGTTTGTTGCGATAAATGACCTTGACCCACTTTCAAAGTGTTAAAAACTTCAAAAATTCCTCAGTTTAATAACCAGTAAGCCCTGAATCATGATATTTGCTTGGTAAGTACGCTTTGGAGCAGATCTTGACTTAAGTGACAAATTCCTTTTCTTGAACAGGTGTATAAATCAGGTCCAACTGACTTTTCCCTACAATTCATGATAAAACAAGTGAAAACAACCAGAATGTTAAAATAAAAAATCATCAGAACTTTCATGTAATGCTCATCAAATATTGTATGAAAATTTCAAAAATGTGTAAAACAAACATTAAGTGTTTATATTAGTTATTAAGATGTATAAGGTGTAATGTTTCAGGACTGGTATTTAATGGCTTGCCTTTACTGGAAATGGCGTCCAGGAATGACAGTCGAGTGACAGTTGATGGACGGGTACAGCCCCGTGTTCCTAATAGGTAAGATTAAAAATCTGTATCTGGTACATTGTACAGGATTCTTATGAGAATGTCTTCTTGTCAACAAACTCTGGATTAGGAAAGCAGGACCAATATTTCTGAAATCAATAATGTGCACTCAGTCAGTAACATCAAAATTGGATATTGTGTATTATGTTAAAGTTCCTCGTGTGATTTTAAAGTTTCATTTCAAAATATCAGTTAAAAGTTGTTCAGATTTACCAGATGTGACTCAAGTGTCAGGAAAAAAAACAATTTCATTAATTGTCAAAATCTTTTAAGATTTGGAAGTTTTCGGGGGTAAAAAAGGTAGAGCATAGATAAGAAAGTAGCGGTTTGAACCTACATCTGTCACTGTTAATTGTTTAATGATGAATCCCAATGGAATCTAAATTATAGACTTACAGACAATTCATGTACGGCCTTTAAGAAATATTTCATGACTTTCCATTTCAATTTACTTTAACAAATTTTTTTGACGTTTTCAAAATTGGAAATTTCAGATGCAATAAGTTTGTTTAAAAAGATATAACAATAAAATAGATGAAAATGAATTCCTTTTGTTTTACTCCACAGAACAGCAGATATACAATCTACTATGGGAATAAGGGTAAGTATACAACATCCTTGGTAATTTAAATCACCAACAACGGCGTTTGAAATTGCCCTGCGTTGGTGCTCCACTGTCCTTCCTTCATCCCTCCTTAAGCTATTCTTGTTATCACTATTTCTCAAGAAGTTACATTGGATGGACTTTTCTCAAATTTCTCAAATAAGTTAATTCTTCATTGTTGCTAGGTGTTCCCTTTTGATTTTGGGACTAACCATAAAAATGATATTACTGAGTCAGACTGTTGTGCATTTCTTATTAAACAGTTAAAGATTATCATTTCTATTTCTTAAGAGAAATTATCAAATTACATATAAATCAGAGCAAGAAGATGCAAGAACATATGAAAATCAAACAATGTTGGGCCCCAAGATCCCTGTAGGATCTCTTAAATATCTCATTCACTCTGAAATTTGGTTTGTTTTACGGCTGGTTTAAACATCAAGCAATGGTGGGAACCAATATCCCTGTAGGATCTCTTAAATATCTCGTTCACTCAAACAAATTTGGTTCGTTTTACGGCTGGTTTAAACATCAAGCAATGGTGGGAACCAATATCCCTGTAGGATCTCTTAAATATCTTGTTCACTCAAACAAATTTGTTTCGTTTAAATATAGTGCAAAAGCCAGAGTCATGTTAAAATGGTTAGTGTTATTATTTTGTGTGAGTATCAAAGAATGAATGTATCCTAAAAAATGATGAACGGTCAAATATTGTACAGAATTTTCTTTATCATTGTAAGGGTGGTCACAATTCCCAAATTTTTTTAAATCATAGATCACTTGAAAACAGTTTTTTTCATTTTAGTAATAATCACCATAACTTAAGTATGCATATCTTCCACAAATTCTCATTCATTTGTATATAATATAAACAAAAAAAGAGAGACCAATCTCTAAAAAAGGGTGTAGGAGTTGAATTTCTCTGGACATATTTTCTGAAATTGGTAAATCAGACTGGGTATCCACATCCCTGACATATTGTGCATCTTACTTATCTCAATTTCAAAATGCTTACTCTACATTCTAATGTGGCAGGGAGGTAGGATATATATTTTTTGTATAGTTTACAGTCATACTACTGGACTGTAGATGATGTAAAGCAGGAATTTCTGATAACAAACTTCAGCATCAACTATCTGAAAGGTCACTGCGGGTAGAAGAGGAGCCGTGCCAGGACTGTAGTAACCTGTTGAGAAAGAAGACAACAACAGACATACCTTTGCCAAGTGGTACCACAGTAACGCACAACCGTGCTCACAAAATTCGTGGAGTAGACACGCTTTGGAAAATCCTGCATAAATCTCCAAATGACGGTGTGAGGTTACTGACTGAGGCAAACCCACAGATTTTAGATGACGGTATGGAAGACATGGATGTGACGTTGGAAGATAAAAATGGTACTTCATCTCCACAAGACTTGAGACAAGGTGAAGCCAGACCCCAAGAAAATAATAGTCCTGATGACACAGATGAAATTTCCGGCTCTGGAAGTAGTATTGTCACCGACTATGATACAGAAGAAAATAGCTTAGCATACTACGACACTGAAAGCAACAATATTATATCTGACATTCAACGCCAATTGGAGGATGAAGACTCTGAAAGGAGGACATTGCAGATTGGCTCAGGAGATGATTATAGTCAACAAGAAGGTGCTGAAAACATGTTGTCTAGCATTCCATCAGAGACGATCCATTCTCAGGGATCAGACTGGGACAAATTGTTACACGAGAGTGACAGCCAGCCTCAATCAAAAAGACATTATGAGAAATCTATTGACCATCAACTCAAAGGAAAATTTCTCTTTGAAAATGGATCGACTTCAAATATGATTAAGCCGGGAGGTTTCCCAAAGGACAGAGGAAAGGTGGACTTGTCCAGGGAAGCACAATACATTCCTGTACATTCCACTTCTACTGTAAGTTTGGCTCAGATACTTATGCATGGCATACTTTGTCATGAAAATAAGAACATGTCAGGCATAACGTAGATCTGATCTGCTTTTCGTGCATGAAGTTTGTTATGGAATGATGGACTGGATGTTTGTTCAGAACCTTGCAGTATTAGAAAGTTTAGAAGCAGTGATTGGAAGAAAGACAATTATTCAAGGTGCTGTTAAGCATAGTGTTTGTGTTACTATTTGGAAAAGATTTTTACTAACAACTTTCTACACAGGAGCTACAAATGTAATATCAGACTTTGGAAACATGTCCTATTCAAGATGTGCTGTATCCCAGAATTACTTGCTACATTACTTACAGCAGTTTGGAGAAGTGGAAAATAACTTATAACAATATATGTACTGTATGTATGAACTTAACCTGAAAATCCCTTATAATTCATTTGCTTGGAAAAACAGTGGAAACAAACTAGCACATGGCACTTTGGAAACTCACCACCCACTCACTATCTTTTTCCCGCGATTTAAATCTATTTAGGGGTTATTCTTTCAAGGGATTCTACAGATAACTTGAACTAAAGTTTCTTTTTTCAAAAGTGGTCAATATGGGCCTCTGACCTTTGACCTTGACATATAACCACCATGATCTAATTATAATTAGGTTTAGACTAGGATGATGCTATAGTATAAATATGAATTTAATCTGTGAAAATGGTTATCATGGATGTACAGATGCATGCATGCACAAAGTGATTACACTGTACTATATAACTCCTTGTTACCCGAGTCTCTAATACCGACATATATCAGCTAACGTCTCTACAACACTGATACTAAGCAGGAGGGATGAAGCTTTTTGACAAGGTCACATGATACATGATGAATGTTACATTGATCATCATTAATAAAGTTAAAGTTTTAAATTAATAGATGAAGGACATCATCAAGAGTCAGTTTTAAACATCATGTATTTAAGAAGATTAGTTAATGGGTTGTAGAAACTCAGTTGATAACTTAACCTCTACATCGGAATAGCTAGACTTCCTGTTAACATTGAATAGAACTACTAAGGCTGACATTGAATATTTAGACTTTTGAATAATACTTGTAATTAAAAAATCTAAGACTGGAATTGATATCTTTCCAACCCTAGATTCTAATTGTCTTTTTTTGCATGCTTCAAATAGTCCCTTCTGTATAACACAGCTTGAGACGTGTGGATGTGATTTTACATGTTATTACATGTATTTATTTCTACAGAGTCAACAGGTGCTATTATCCTTGTGAATGACTATGTGGAAAAGTGCATGTATATACTTATAACAATTGTATACTGTATAAATGGTATTAGTTCAATACTCATCTATAACACAATGGAATGTGTAATGTTTTTTACAAAACAGGTATTTTGCTCTGAGAGCATATTCATTTACAGAAGTTTATTGTAAAATATGATAATGAACAATCAAATGCCTATAGGTATGGGAGTTAATTTTTTCATGATTTACAAACAATCAAAATCACAGAGTAACAAGTGTCCACCAGAACTGATAGCTTACTTTAATGAGATTGTGCAACAGACATACATAAGTGAATAACAACTTTTAATAAAAAAAACAATTAGAATTAGATACAGCAGAGCCAAATAATTAATTAAAATGCATTATACAGCTGTTACTTAGGACATAAAAATTAAATTTAAAGAAATATCAAACTATAAAGATAATTTAGTAATTGTAATTCAGTAAATTTTGTTTTAAAAAGGCTTGAGATTCCAACTTTTGTCTCCACAGCACACCACTCCACGACAAGGTATCACTGATGAGATCATCCATGAGGTGACTTACTCTGGTGACGGAACTGGCTGTCCAACAGATGACGAGGACGACTGTACCTCTGTAGGATCAGGTTCCGATGACGACATCATTACACCTGTTGTAAAAATCAGTACTACTCCAAAACCAAACACCACAGAGCCTAGGTATGTAACAATGTCCTCAACAGTGTCTGGGTATGTAACACTGCCCTCCACACAGTCTAGGTATGTAACAATGCCCTCAACAGTTTGTAGGTATGTAACACTGCCCTCCACACAGTCTGGTTACCAGGTATATAATAATGTCCTCTAGAGTCTAGGTATGTAACACTGCCCTCCACACAGTCTGGGTATCAGGTATATAATAATGCCCTCTAGAGTCTAGGTATGTAACACTGCCCTCCACACAGTCTGGGTATCAGGTATATAATAATGCCCTCTAGAGTCTAGGTATGTAACACTGCCCTCCACACAGTCTTGGTACCAGGTATGTAACACTGCCCTCCACACAGTCTGGGTATCAGGTATGTAATAATGCCCTCTAAGGTCTAGGTATGTAACACTGCCCTCCATTCAGTCTAGGTATCAGGTATGTAACACTGCCCTCCACTCAGTCTAGGTATCAGGTATATAATAATGCCCTCTACAGAGTATAAGTATGTAACACTGCCCTCCACACAGTATAGCTATGTAAGATTGCAGGATTTAGTAATTTGCCATAAAACAGGAATTTTCCTTATGTACAAAAATTTGGTTAAATTTTGTCCATGCCTTATTTTTGCCGTTGAAGAGCAGGGACATAAAATATTCTTGACAAAGAAAGAAGCGATATCAATACATGTATAAAGAGATTAGTCTACTCTCTACAGTATTGGAAAAGGAGAGTTTGTGATCTCAGTAGTCACTCTAAGTGGACTACCCCCACTGCATAGAAAAATGACACTTCAGTTCCTGGTGTGGGTGCCTCTAATATGAACTCCTGCACATATCTCTTATACATGGCATTCATTGGAAGATGAATTTGCCGCAAGGGAAAGTTGTTCCATTGTTCTATCAATACTGCTATCAACTTGGTGTGGTTAGTTGAAGGGTTAATATGTTTTCTGATTGTAAACAAAAAAGAGAGACCAATAAACCCCCCTGTAGGGAGCCCCTCTACCTGCCTGTTGTACAGGTGGCTGACATGACCTCCTGATATCCCAAAAACCTGAACCAAAGACATGTCCATGAAGACTAGAGCCAAGTCTTGAGTCCTCCTTCAGATTCTTCTGAACAGCGGGTTAAACCCCACTGAACAGAGTATGTCCACTGAAAGGGCCATCAAATGGCGAGAGCAGAACGGCTTACTAACTTGAATGTCCCTGAGGACGGAACACCATCGAATGAGCATCATGTCAGTGAGCAGTAAGCACTGCAACGTTGCCACCGAATATAATGCTGAATTCAGAGCAGTCGTAAGTCTGTCCTGCATATCCTGCTTCACCCCATCAGAAAGCTGATCCTAAAGCAGATTGGACAGTCTACACAAGGATACAGTGAACAAAAATCTACATAGGACAGGATAAGATATGAGAGATGTAACATCCTCTCGACCTTGTTATGTTCTTTAGGCTGGAACATCACCTGGTCTACAAACCTGGACCAGGAAGATGAGTCCCTCAATTCCAGCTTCACCAGAAAAGTAGCAAGCTTCCCCAATGTCACGTATCTGAACACAGACGGAGGAAATGGGGCCAAAAATACACGGCCAAAGCAACAATTAACAAATGGGAATAAAAGTAGTAAACGCTATGGAAATGAACCAAAATCACAGAACTAAATGGGGAATACCGCCCTGTATGTGTGGAATGTCACCAAGGCTAGTTGATAAAGAAAGATGTATATCCAGTGGTGAGTAGATACAACAGGCAGGTAGAGGGGCTCCTTATGGGGGGTTTATTAGGCACCCTTTTTGGTTTATATTATATACAAATGAATGGGAGTTAGTGGAAAATATGCATATTAAAGTTATGGTAATTATTACTGAAATGAAAATGACATTTAGGGGTCTAAAAATTGGAAGGGCAAGTGATAGGAGGATCTGGGCTTTGTATCTAACCACACTGAGATTTTCAGTCCAGGAACACTAAAGGGGATTTTACTCTTTGGGAGATGACTCACCAAAACCAACCACATCAGCGATATATTCTTTTTTCTTTTGTCTCGGGGATACAAAGAGAATTAAGTATTGTCCGTGAACTTCACACACCTCTACCAATGCATCCCAAACCAATTTGTATCTTGTCTGCACATCCAAACTCTTGCTGCCTACATGGTGTCAGAGGTGGCCTGACATAACATAGTTAGCATGCAAGTGATTCATACATGGCAGTTTTAGCACTGATAGGTTTACCATGAGTGCCTAAGGTATGCCATGCAGTCTCTGCAACAGTCTTGAATCTGTTGTGCAGGTACAACAATCAAATTGCCCTTTCTTGTTGTGCAGTCATTATATACTGACAACTGCTCCATCAGTTAAAATGGCTATGGTGTTTTGCAAGGATAAACGTTATGTGTTTCATTTTTATTGTTGAAATTATAAAATGTCATTCTTTCAAAATTAAAATTTGACTGTTCAATAGTTGTCAAGAAATCTTTATGTGAAAAATTAAAAATCAAACACTGGTGAGAAAATGTCTTAAATGGTATCCCCTAACTGATTTTCTATCATGTCTTAAATTCATTGTACAGATGTGTTTTTTGTTATCATTGACAGCAGTATGTGTGACGATGGCAAAGAAACAAGTTGTCCTCAACTTGTAATTGAGAACGTGTCTACAACGACAGAAAAGAAAGACAAGGGCAGCAACATTGACCAAGGTCCTGTCGACCAAACGAATCCAACGGGAGGACAAATGGAGTCAGAACTTACTCCTCATAATATCGGACTCATCATTGGAATTATTGCTGTTGTCATTGTTGCCTTGATCATTCTCATAATAGCACTGTATAAATTTCATCGACGAGACGAAGGGACATACAAAGTAGATGAAACACAAAACTTTGCATATTTAGAATCTAAAAAACAGAATGGAAATGGAGCGTTATTAGGACCTGTCCCTGGAAATGGGAAAATGGCCAAAAAGAAGGATGTGAAGGAGTGGTATGTGTGAACTGCTGTGATATTTGTAAAGGTTGTGTTTGTTTAGAGAGTATTGTTATCGGAACATTGGTTGGAGGGTGGTAATGAGCCAGAAAATATTACAAGGATTACATATCAGTGTAGTAATTGGCAGAAAACAATGGCAACACAAGAGGATCCTATTCAGTCTGTGGTGAAATGATTGCCATTGGTAAATGTGACGTATAATTTTGTTTAAGATTTCAATAAAGCAGTGCAAAAAGGTGAAAGAAACAAGTGGAAGGTTTTTAATCAGCAAATAATTATTAAAAGTTCAAGATTAATAAACTAATTTATCATATCTATGGTAATCAGTCATGTACCAGTGATGACAAGGTTCAACACTTCCATGGTGATTGGTCGTTCACAAATGATGGCCTGATAAGGTTCAACATCTTCATGGTGATTGGTCGTTCACAAATAATGCCCTGATAAGGTTAAACATTTCCATGGTGATTAGTCGTTCACAAATGATGCCTTGATAAGGTTCAACATTTCCATGGTGATCGATCATGCACCATTGATGACCTTACATAGTTCAACATCTCCATGGTGATTGTGCATCGATGATGGCCCATTTAGGTTCAATGTTTCCATGGTGATCGATGATGCACCAGTGATGAGCTGACAAAGTTAAACATTTCCATGATAATTGTTAGTGCATTAAAGATGACCTGGCTGATCGAGCACCATTGATTGCCTGATAGGTTCGTTGTTTCCATGGTGTTCGTTGATGCACCAAAGATGGTCTGACAACCAGCTGATTTCCTTGTGGTGCTGTGATTTAGAGCTATACATGTAAGTTACAAATAGTAAATTTACTGAACAGTTTGCCTAGTAACAATCTTAACAGATATATAGCTATTAATAGCTGAAACATGTCTCATTACTTCTGTAGAGGTCCTTAAACTTGAGTTAGAGCTTGATATTCAGTACCACTCAAGGTCATTGTTGTTGTTTTGTGTTATTATGGACTGGTGTTCAGCCAAGAAGCACAAAGGGATATCGTTTTAGATCTGGGAGTGAAGATTACCCAAAGTAGTAGCTAGAACCACACAGGAACTAATCTAAATATGCTCACACTTGAACGAATGTTTGATAGACTTTGGTCTCTGATATGTGGTTTAATGTACAGATCACTGGATATGATGGTACTGCTTGTTTCTTCCAGAGCTTGACCTTAGGGTATAGAAGGTCACCAGCTATGTTCAAACTGTAATCCCAGTATGAAAACAGTTGGAGGACATGTGAACATAATCATAACCTCCATATTTTGACCTTCAAAGGTCATTGATTGACCCTAGAAGATCAGCAACACTGATTATCTATGAAACTAAGATCAATTTGAATTGGAAAAATGTCATAGGTTAGAGTGATGTGAGAGGTTAGGGTCCTATATTTTGTATAGATGATGTGACCCAGATGAAATATTATGTAGGTCACACAGACCAGCTAATCTTGTCATCTCTCCTTACATTAGACTCAACCTGTTATATTAATCCAATGAATAAATTTCAGGAACTGGAACAGAAAGATATTTTAATCTTTAAAAGTCAATGACATGTAAATGTTGAGGGTCATTTTAAGATATTAGCCATCAAATATTCCAAACTAGAAAATGGGGCCAACATCAAATTATCAATCCTACTGTAAAAGATGGGGTCAAACATCCAATCATTAATCCTACTGTAGAAGTACCTGTTTTAGCAGTGATCTTATATAAGCTCTGTTTTGCTCGATCATCTTGCTTTAAATATGATTGTGCTAATTGCAGTTTATACATAGTATTAACATAGCAATCAGTGTAGATGTGCTATTCCATTAATTGCGCTAAATTGCCAAAAAAGTAATAATACTCTAAACATTTGATTGCGCAAAATTAAGTACATACACAGTATTTCAAAGTTATAACAATGCAGAACTTGTGACATTTTGGTAAGGTAATTCATTTCCTGAAAATGATGCCTGCAAACTGTTAATATTATTTTGTATTGCTCGACCCAATGTTATCTGGGAATTGTGGCTACATTTACTTTTAAAACGTTTGAGATATATCTCTCTTTAATAGATGGAAATTGAACAGTCCTTTAAAATTGGTCAGCTGAGTGTGCCTTCCTCCAAGAGGCAACAGGTGCATAGTTGTGTGTGCCTACTGATAACGGTCTTTAAAAAGTTGACCAAGCAATGATCTAAAGAGTACAAAGTAGGACGGAAAGTCCTGTCTCTGCATAAGATTAAAATAAAGTTGATGTGTTCAAAGGACATCTTTGGTTTTCTAGATATGTCATGGTACTTCAAGTTTTCATTGCTTCGTGTTCATGATGTGACATTGCTGGCTTGCAATTGATCTTATATGTTATAATGTCATACTAAGACAGAGAACCCTTACTTGCCAAATTACACACAGTATGAATCCTATTCAAATGAAAAACATGTGTTCCCATTTTTTTTTTTTTTTAATCTTTTAATCTTAATCAAATTTTTATGTTCAACTTCTACAAACATTGACATTGTAAATACCATAAGATCAGAGCATGAAAGTGACATACCATAATTATGCGGGGATAAGCCAATGTCTGGTGATAAGCCCATCCATGTTTAATGTTCTTCATTATAAACAATACTATTTCATCATCCTGAATTAAGCCCAGACCTGAACTCTAAGTAAAAGACCCAGTGGGCTTATTGCAGGATGAATATGGTAAACATGTGTTATTATGTGTAAATAATTTCAGTTTTTCAGATTGTGAGGGACCATAGATTATTTTGTTGTGTATATCAGTTGATTATTTCTTATGAATATTAATACTGTCTTTTTATTGTGGACATAAACACATTAAACCATCAGTTTGACCATGCTTGCTTCTGGTTAGTCTACAGGGTGCAGTCTAACCAGATATTTTTTAATGTCTTTAATTTTTGCTTGAATATTTTGGTGTTTTATGGTAAATACTCCAAAACTTTCCTTCCATCAGTCTGTTCAGAAGTATGCGTTATGCATAGATAGGGGTGTTCAATGAATAGTGTTTGATTAAAACTTGCATGCATTGGTTAATTTATGTGTTTGAAAGCATTTCTTGTTATGTATAACCTACATGCATCTGCAGTGTCTAGCCTGTTAAGCTTCAGGATAGACTTGTAAGAAATTTGAAGAGGATGATAAGAAAGAAATAGATGTCTGTTGTTTTGGACTGTATTAGGTTATACAATCACTGATTAGGAATACGGAAAACTAAACCAGGTGTGGTAGATTATATCACTGCCTAGGAATAAGGAAAACTATAGCAGGTGTGGTAGATTATATCACTGAGTACAAATAATGAAATCTATAGCAGACAGTTTATACATCGGGTCTTCATCAAGTCTCAGTTTCATTTTTTATTCATCTGATTAAGTTTAGACATCTTTTTGTTGAAAATGCTTTATTTCTTTAAAAAAGTTTTGATTTTGCTATTTGTAATGGGTAAAACTGGGCCAAAGGAGAGATAGAATGAAACCATCGTTCTTTAATTAGTGGAAACTTGATTAGATAAAGAGAAATTTTAACCAAACCAATATGTTATTTCATCTTCAACAAGTGTCCTGTTCACCTTATAAGGCCGATGGAATATTTACTCTTGACCATGATACGATCTCAAGCTCCAAACTGTGTAACAAAAATGTTATGGAAATTACTGCCATAGGGTAAAACTAATGTCATATCTGAGATCAGGAAAATAACAGTTGCTATTAACATATTGGGTATATACACGTTTATTTTTGTGAATAGATGAGAACTATAAAACATATTACTTATGTTGTATAAGTGAAATCAGGAAATGTTGCAGCCATTGAAAGAAGCACTTCCTGGAAATGAACATGACAATTCCCCTATTCTACTGCTGTTACTTATAACAGACTACGGGTCATTTTAGTGTGTTGTTAATTTACTGTCTTTTGTTAGTCATAGATTTAGCTGTTTTGTACCTGACTGAAGGTATTTCTGAAGATTTTCTGGTGTTATGACACAACAAACATAAATATTAGGTCAGGAGCCTCTGTTGTGTGTTGGTTCTTGCTTGTACAGCGACATATAACAGTGATTGTGATGCTTATATATTTAGCGTACACATGTCTAGGTCTCATGTGAAGTTGGGGAGATAACTCTGGCTCTAGCTTATAGTCACCTGTTATACCGTTGTTTCGTATGATAATTTTTTTATGAGTAATTCTGCTTATTGTTTCATTAAATAATGGGTCTGTAAATATACATATTACGTTATTTTCTCTGTGTTTTGTACATTGTTATATCAGTTGAAGGTCACCAGAAGGACGGTGACGTCACTCTCATTTAACTCATGCCTAAACAACCATTCCCGAAAGGTGTTAAACACATCATATATTTTCTTTTCCCCAATTTGATTCAATGGATGCTCCTTGTGATGACATTTACATTACTGTATGTAGATGATAGTGATATAAATATGTGAGACACAGGCAGTGTTGACCCCTGACCTGTGTCATATCCACTGACCTTTTAAATGTGTGTCAAGGTTTAACCTTTTATTTGTATCAAAGACATTCACTGTCCGTGTACAGATATTTCACATTTGACCATTGAACTGTTTCAGAGTCAATTTTATTGGCTGTATAATGTGAGTTAAGGTCGATCCCATTGACCAGTGTGTGTGCATGGTCGTCCATGTCTTGTTCAGATCTGTGTAGCCGCGCCGCATGACATCAGTAAAGTCGTCAGCAATGGTCCATTGTTTACTGTTTATTTCAGACATTGTTGAGCGATGTTGTGCGATGAACTTTTGAGTAAATTGTTAGCTCAAAGACGACATAGAGAATTTATTTTTATCTGTCCCCTGGTTATTACTGCATGAAGTTGCCATATCTGTTCCTCGAACTTCTAGATAACACAGGGTTTGTGTACTAAGGTGTCCCGTATGGACAATGAATTTAGATGTGCTCTATCTTCGTAGTTCTCGGCGATCACATTGTCCCTGTAGTGTCGATATTGAAACGATAAAACGACGCATATAGAATTTTATTTCGTGTATATTTTGTTTGTATTGACAAAAATAAAAGTATCTAATCAGGTTGAGTGAGAGGGAGATGTGGATCAGCGTGTATATGTGAATTGTGTGGCTGACTGGAGCAGCGATATTACGCCTCGTGCGACACTTCATTTTATAATAATGACCTTGTTAGCTGCGTCGAAGTCTTCAGTAAACATCGCAGGGCATGCATAATCTTGTATGTTGCAAATTTTATCATGATAACAAAATATGTTTTCATTTGTTTCTAAGCTTTAACATGGACAGTTGTAGTATAGGAATAAATGTTTTAATACGAAATAAAACACGTGTTTGTCATTCTGTTAATTACC